ATCAACTTTCAGCCTACTGTTCTCTTCTTTAACAAAAGAATAAGTGGCTTGGATAGTTTGGAACTCTTCCCAAAATGATGACATTGGATCATCATTTAAGGCTGTGCCTACCGAAGAGGAAATAGAATTAGGAGTAGAGCATACCTCATCATCTGATTGTGCCATGAGGCAAAGGTCTTCAGTCTCTGCATCCAAGCAGCAGAATGCTTCATCAGAGTCAGAGTCTGAGCTGGACTCTGATTCAGAGAGCGGATCTCTCTCAGCTTGCTCTGAGACGAATGCTCTTCTTCTTCTGTGTTGATCATCTGGTTTCTTTTCTTCTTCATGTCCTTGCTTCTTGGACACTCTTGGATAGGGGCAGTTTGCTTTGAAGTGCCCAGGTTGTCTGCAGTTGTAGCAGAGGTACTCTCCATTGCTCTCAGAAGATTTGGTCTTCTGATGTGGTTTTCTGATGGAAGATGGACTCCTTCCATCTTTCTTCATAAATTTTCTGAATTTTCTGGCAAAGGCAGCCATATATTCATCAGATAGAAGAGTTGAGGGATCAAAATTTGTAGCCTTAGAAGTGCTGGCAGTAAGAGCAGTTGTGGTTCTCTCATCTGACACTTCTTCTTTCTCATCATGCATCTCAAACTCATAAGCTTTGAGATCAGATATCAGTTTCTCTGTGGGATAGGTTTTGATGTCCTTGCTTTCTTGGACAGCAATAACCTTCATCTTCCAGACTGGGGGCAGTCCTCTGAGAATCTTCAGGTTGACTTCTTTAACTGTGAGCTCCTTCCCAAGCTCGGATATCTCACTGGTAAGAATCAGAAGTCTGGCATGCATCTCAGCTATGCATTCCTCAGGTAGAAGTTTGAAGTCATCAAACTTCTTCATAGCTATTGTCAGTTTGTTGTCTCTCTCTTGTTCATCACCTGCTCCTATGAGATCAAGTTTGTCCCATATTTCTTTGGCAGTTCTACACTTCTTGATTCTGTTGAAGTATCTGTTGTCGATGGCTTTGTAGAGGATATCTTTGGCAATATTGTCAAGATTGTACTGTCTCCTCTCTTCCTTTGTCCATTCTGATCTGGCTTTCTCAATCATCTCAGGCTGAGTCCTGTCAATAGTATGCTCAGTATTCACCTTCATAAATTTGGTGAAAGGTCCTTCTTCAAGGACTTCCCACATTTCATCATGAAGAGCGCAGAGATGTGCTTTCATTCTGATCTTCCAGTCATCATACTTCTGATCTGAAAACATGAGGTGCTTTGCAAGAGAGTTATCCATAATAACAAATAAATAGAGGCTAAGAACAAGTGGATCTTTGTTCAGAGAGTAACCTAAAAGATTACAAGAACAAGGAGGCTCTGATACCACTTGTTGGTCCCGTTTAGTATGGTAATCAGTCTAGAGGGGGGGGGGGGGGGGGGGGGGTGAATAGACTGATTAGTTTTTCAAACTTTCTCTAAGTCCAAAATGACTTATCAGAGTTTGTCTGATTCTGGTGACAGAGAAAGGCTGGTTCTGATATCAGAACTGGCCTTGGCAGCGGATTCTGATCTGTCCGGGTAGCCTCAGAAACACTAAGGCAAATGCCTTTCTGATAACTCTGAAAACAAGATCTGCTGAACACAGATTCCAAGTCTTAGAGTTAACAGTTAATATCCTAAGTGCAGAAATATAAATTGCAGTAAAGTAAATGACACCGGATATTTTATAGTGGTTCAAGGAACAACTCGTTCCTCTAGTCCACTGTTCCACTAGCTTTGAAGTAGATCAGTTACAAAGCTAATTCCTAGCACTTAAGAAGCACTCCTCGTCTTCTTCAAGCCTAGATGCCACCCAGGATGCAATCCCACGTCCTGATGGCTGATCCTTTCACTCAGCTTCCCGGAAGTATCACCACTTCACTACTGCAGTTACTTGGACGCCCTTCTTTTCAGAAGATCCTTTTGAAAAACAGAGTTTTTCCTCCAACTTGCTTCGTTACAAAGGATGTTTGATGAAGTTCTTGAAGTGTTGAAGAATAGGATGAACTTTGCTTGTTTGTTGGGGATGAGAGATTTGGAGTTTGAATCTTCCCAACGTAAGCTTGTCTTTTTGAAGTTTGTAGGATTTGAATCTCAAGAAAGCTTGAATGATGAAGAGCAGAAGTTGTAGCAAAGTTGTTTTCCTGATCTTCGGTGTGTAGCTTATATACTGAGGTTGTCTGCCCGTTGGAGGAGGAGACAACTGTATTAAATGCGCGTACTGTTGACTTGACCGCCGTTTTGGAAGGTTTCTATTTTTATAATATATCTTCCCGGATTCCTTGGTCAATCATTTGCAATCAATCCTTCAGCGTATCAGGCTCATTTAATGTGCATTAAAAGCTTTCCTTTCATGCACAGTCTTGTAGCCGTTGGATGTTTTTACCCGTTGAATTCAGAGCTGTTGGATGTTGCTTGAGATTTTTCTAAGTGTTCGTCGGGCTCTGATCAGGCTCTTCTGACGTGTTGGGTTCTGATGGCTTATCTGATGAGTTGAGTTCTGAAGGTCTTCTGATCTCTGACTGAACTCTAACTCTGACTCTGATAGGTCCGCTGATGAGTACCTCTGATCTGTAGTTCTCATCGGCTATCAGATGTTCAAGTTTATCAGCAACTCTCATAGGTGCAACTCTGATGGACTTCTGGTAAGAGAACTCTGATGGAGCAGTTCTCATAGAGCAAGTCTGGTAGAGCAGTTCTGATGCACTTCTGATCTGATCCAGAATAGAGCAACTCTGATCGTCGACTACACTAATACTTACAACTGAAAATTTCTAATACATAAAATCTAATTTGGGGGTATTCTAACTTTCTAATCCTATAGCATCATCAAAATCTAATTACATTTATTCCTTACAATTATACTACGTATTAGTGCTATTATTGAATTTATTTTGACGCACCGTGACAAAGTGCACATCATATTCCAACAATTTAAACACACAACTCAAGATTTATCGGAAATCTTAGAAGAACAAAAGGCGCCATAGCATGAGGACAAGGTCACAATTCAGAGATTTCCCTTGGGATTAGTTTTTAGTTTCTTTTCTTTCTTTCCTTTTCCGTATTGTCTTTCTTTTTTCCTTTCTCGCATTGTACTGTTTTACTTTTATCAATAAAATCAACCTTTTTCCAAAAAACAAAAATGTAAAGATGATTGGTAAGACACGTGTATATCATCATGTGTATACTGTGATAGATAATTCGTTAAGACGGACTTATCGATGTCAGCATTAAAGTAAATTATCTTATGGAGATGTTGTCTTCAATCTATTTGGAGTATGCCTGGACTCGGGCCGGGTGGCCCGACCCGGAACCGGCCCGAACCGGCACTGTTCCTGCCCGGTGACCCGGTCAGTCATCGGTTCGGGTAGGCCCGACCCGCTGGGGTTCCGGTCAGGGCTCGGGCCCCTCAAAACGTGAACCGGCCCGGCCGGTTCAGGCCCGGTCCAAGCCATTTTTTTTTTATTTTTTTTTTCGAACTTTTTTTAAGTTTTTGGGTTGGGCTGGGTATTTTGGGTCATTTGAGATGGTTTGGGATGGTTTGGGGGTGGGTTAGGGGTTAATTAGGAAAAGGCAAAAAAAAAAAATTGAACCGAGGCCCGGCCTGGCCCGACCTGGACCCGGGGGTTACCCGGGCCGGTTCCGAGCCTCCCATTTCCTGAACTGAGGCCCGGCCGGGCCCGAACCGGCCCGAGTCCAAGCCTAATTTGGAGTATCTCTGCCAAAATGTCTAAGTAAGATACTATTTCTGTCCCACCAGCATTGATACATGAGGAGCTGACACGGTTATTAAGAAAAGTGAGTTTAATTATGTGTTTGATATTGAATTGATAAAGTATGAATAAAGCAAAAATAATTTAGAACCACACAAACTTTATTAAATTTGGTATGTGACCATCTTAGTGAGATTTTCTAAAAAGAAAAAATGGGACAATTTTAGTGAGACATAGGGAGTATATGTTTTGTGTACCAAGTTCGGCTCTGCTTAACTTAGGGAGAAGGGGTGCTTAGCTCGAGTATAATGAGCTCGGATAGGTGGTAATGAGCTCGGCATCGACCCCTATCTCAGATTTGTCTTGCTAATTTGAGGACCGGAATCGAGCTCGTCCTCGGTTTTGGTTGCGAGCTCGGACTCGATTGTATTTTTGGAGTTCTTTCATTGATATGAGAATTAGGTTCGACCTCGACCTCGACTCGAGAAGTGAGGTCGGTCTCGGCGAGTCGGCCGGTTGATATTGCTTCAGTCGATTGCAAAAGATTCATGTATTATGATTATTGTGACCACGGGGTATATGGAAATATAATCCATCACCCACGATATTGCCCTTAACCAACGTCACTGCCCTTCGCTATCATTCGTGTGGCGTCATCAATGTCATAACAACAAAAAGAAGAGGTGGATGAAATGAGGATGAATATTAGTGCATAAAACTCATGTAGTATTTGAAAGTCTATACGGGCGCATGCCAAAATAAAGAATTTTCTTTCCAATGTTTATTTAATTATACGTGATGATCATAGAAGGAGAGATAAAAAACACAATATTTTGAACTCTTCTCTTTTCTTTCATCTTCTTTATTTCTTCTGCATGGGCAATTTGTTTGAGCGCATCAACAAGTGTTTTGAAATGTTGGAAGGTAGATATAACCTATTAGGGTCAGTGGACTAAGTGAAGGAGTAGGTTACTAGTTCAATTCCTCAATCAACACCTTCAAATGTTTCTTATCACCCTGGCGTGATTTGAAGGCTATCGGAAAATAAATAGCACTAATGGTGTACCTCGACCGGCCATGTAGAAAAAATGAAAATGTTAGTTTTTTTTATCTTAGCTTCGACAAAAATTGTGAAAGAGAAATCTTTTCGATGGATTTGCATCCTTTGCCATACGACTATTGTGCCTTACGCAGAGCAACGATAACAAAGGAGGAGGGGAGCCTGAGATAATTGCCAAAAATGGATCGAATGACTATAAAAAATGCACTCTACTTCACTGCATGTTTGCCAATGCAGAATCCGGATCCCTTTTTGATACATAAAATCTAAATATAATTGGGGAGGAAATATTGTGACAAGTACAATTACAAAGAACATGATTGTATTTCAATATAAGTACAAATAGCAAATTCGCTAAACAAATAACACAAATTGTATGACAAATAACTGGTACTCCGGACTACATTAGCAAAGTTAAAACCCTGTGCACAAAACAGTTTTACAATAGGCAATGTGAATATATAAATGTAATTACTTCGAGAATCAATAATGCAACATGTCTTGTCTAAAAACAATTTGGGATTTGTTGCAACTCTCTACATGTGTAGACCGTAGCATTCTCATAATTCACCACCCAATCATATTTCTACATACCATATCGGCTCTCGGTGATATAAATATGGAAATTGATCAAAATAGAAATAAAAATAATATGAAATTTCAAAACATGAGTGACCACACTACTTCCTTGAATAGGGATATCTTATTACCATTTTGAGATTTACCGCCATATTTTGGTTATACGGGAAATGAGTATGACAAACTACTCATCCTAGAAAAACAATTCATTTTGAAATTTCACATTATTCTTATTCTATTTAGTACAATTTCTTCATAAATAATATTCCCACCGTTTCATAAATGTGTATGTACATACTCGCCTGGACAGTAATGAATGAATAATGATGGTGACTTTTTTTTTGACAAAGTATAATGACAGTGACCGAGTTATGGAGGAGTGAAAAATAAGTGGAACATTTTTAAAAAGGAACTAAAAACAATATTGTGGAAAAATCTGAAAAGAGAAATTTGGGACACTAATATGAAACGGTGGGAGCAAGCTAGAATTAATTGAAGAGAGCATTGTAGAAGAGAAGGTTCCAAGTATCAGGCAAGCCAGGGAGGCACCAATGGCTGCAATCCACGGTGTTGTGGTCACTGTAAGTAATGGGATGTGCATCCTTTCTGTATTGGGAGAGACCAGTAATGTCCAGAAGGTAAACTGGTTTCTTTAATCTTCTAAATACTTTTTTCAACACCGCCACCGCTTCCGCCGTGAGATCTGACGGCTGAGCAGTAGCCGCAAAGATTGGTTCTGTCTCCCCTTTGCATGACTTCAATGGCTCCCCCCATTCCTTGCCTCTGTTTTACAATACAACACTAAATTTAAGCCCGATTTTTGTATTATTCGGAATTTGTTAGTCTGATTTGATTTGGTCTATTTAAATTTTATCTATTTTGAATCAAATTGTTTTAATCTACTGTTTTCTTTTCATTCTCATATTTTTTGTATCAACTTTTCATCCATTTTTTTATTAATATTTTTTTACTCCAGGGGTGGATCTGGGGGAGGGGGAGGGGGAGCCTGGAGTAATCAGGACTGAAACTCATTCCATTGAGTTTCAAACCCTTTATGTGCCTAGCGGGTTTCGAACTCGAGACCTCCCACTAGGCACAGTAATCTTACAACCAGCTGAGCTGGAATGCTTGGTTCTTTACATCCTCTTTCATGTTTGCACCCACACTAACTTGATTATTTTGTGAAAAAACTAAATCAAAAATTTCCCCAAAAAAAAACTAAATCAAAGATCACACTAAAAAATCATTAATTACATCACAATTTTTAAAGGCCCAGCCCCAACAGAAACCAACTTTTCTCAATAAAACCTAATTCTTGTCGAAAGCCAGTACATATCCAGTCCAGGTTCTTGGCAGGTTTGCAATCTAGTCCAGATTCTTGGCGGGTTTGCAATCCTAAGTACATACTGCCATACTGGACTGGAATGCTTGGTTCTTTTCATCCTATTTCATGTTTGAACCCACACTAACTTGATTATTTTGTGAAAAAAACTAAATCAAAGATTTCCCAAAAAAAAAACTAAATCAAAGATCACACTAAAAAATCATTAATTACATCACAATTTTTAAAGGCCCAGCCCCAACAGAAACCAACTTTTCTCAATAAAACCTAATTCTTGTCCAAAGCCAGTACATATCCAGTCCAGGTTCTTGGCAGGTTTGCAATCTAGTCCAGATTCTTGGCGGGTTTGCAATCCTAAGTACATACACATACTCCCTCCATCCCGAAATAAACGTCCCGGTTTGACTTTCACACAGATTAAGAAAATGAATTTGACTGCACATTGTTTGGCACTGTAGCGACACTGTTTGGCACTGTTTGGTATAGATTTGTTTAAAGAAGTCAGACATTTATTTTGGGACATCCATTTTGGGAAAGCAGGACATTTATTTCGGGAGAGAGGGAGTATTTACTTTTAAATTTATAAAAATGTTACTGCAACTGATTTTAGGTCCACCTTTTTAATTCCTACTCCATACCTGGTGTAATGGTGTTCTATCCACGGGTTCATTTTTGGTCCAATTCCGAAACTAACTCGAGCTATATGAAACACTGTACAAAATAAATATTGTGCAAGTGAAGTTTGGGACAAGTGAGGATTGAATCTCATCACCGACAATATGCGAGCAACTTTTCAAAGTGAGTAGATTATATGTGTGCATCTCGCAGTGGTGTAACTGGTGTGTTTAATTAACTGAGTCATTGTTGGGCCACGGATATGCGGTGCCAGCATATCCGGGAGAGAGGGAGTATTTACTTTTAAATTTATAAAAATGTTACTGCAACTGATTTTAGGTCCACCTTTTTAATTCCTACTCCATACCTGGTGTAATGGTGTTCTATCCACGGGTTCATTTTTGGTCCAATTTCGAAACTAACTCGAGCTATATGAAACACTGTACAAAATAAATATTGTGCAAGTGAAGTTTGGGACAAGTGAGGATTGAATCTCATCACCGACAATATGCGAGCAACTTTTCAAAGTGAGTAGATTATATGTGTGCATCTCGCAGTGGTGTAACTGGTGTGTTTAATTAACTGAGTCATTGTTGGGCCACGGATATGCGGTGCCAGCATATCCGGGAGAGAGGGAGTATTTACTTTTAAATTTATAAAAATGTTACTGCAACTGATTTTAGGTCCACCTTTTTAATTCCTACTCCATACCTGGTGTAATGGTGTTCTATCCACGGGTTCATTTTTGGTCCAATTCCGAAACTAACTCGAGCTATATGAAACACTGTACAAAATAAATAGTGTGCAAGTGAAGTTTGGGACAAGTGAGGATTGAATCTCATCACCGACAATATGCGAGCAACTTTTCAAAGTGAGTAGATTATATGTGTGCATCTCGCAGTGGTGTAACTGGTGTGTTTAATTAACTGAGTCATTGTTGGGCCACGGATATGCGGTGCCAGCATATCCGGGAGAGAGGGAGTATTTACTTTTAAATTTATAAAAATGTTACTGCAACTGATTTTAGGTCCACCTTTTTAATTCCTACTCCAGACCTGGTGTAATGGTGTTCTATCCACGGGTTCATTTTTGGTCCAATTCCGAAACTAACTCGAGCTATATGAAACACTGTACAAAATAAATAGTGTGCAAGTGAAGTTTGGGACATGTGAGGATTGAATCTCATCACCGACAATATGCGAGCAACTTTTCAAAGTGAGTAGATTATATGTGTGCATCTCGCAGTGGTGTAACTGGTGTGTTTAATTAACTGAGTCATTGTTGGGCCACGGATATGCGGTGCCAGCAATCTGCGTGCAATCGAACCGCGTGGCGCTTCAGTGCTTCACATGTGCTATAAATGGGGAGGAGCGTGTTACACTATCATGTTGTGTATTGTGTCACGTCGGAGCGTGTATTGTGTGTATTGGGAGTTCAACCTTTTGACACAGTAGACAATAAAAACATGTTGATGTATATCGAAGGAGATCGAACTGACTTACTCGTAATGGGATGGGGACATTCCTTGGAAGAAGACCTGAGTTTTAGATGGGTTAATGCGGCGATTAATCCATCTAGCCCAAGTTGTCATTCCGTGGTAGAATGCAACCAATCGGTTCATGTCTTTGTACAATTTTCCATCCAATTGCAACAACTTCCATCTGTGTAGTAAAATCAAATAAACTAAATATAATTAGGTCTATGTTTAACTGCAAAAAATGATCAGGATTAACCCTTTAGTTTTATGTCCTAACTGTAATTTTTATTTTCATACCCATAATTTATGTGACTTTTATTTCTAATCTTGTGCCGATCCTAACAACTCCGACTCAAGACTTGTTATCATTCTTTGTCATGTAACTCAAAAATAAGAAATTTTATTTTTTAGATGTCCATAAAATCAAATTTAAAACGCAAATGATTAGTTCTGCATTGTTTTAATCACAATATTAGTAGCCAACAAGCTATCGAATGATAAGTTTAGAGGTTTCGAGTAGAATCCTTTGAAAAAAATCTAGTAAAGCTGTGCAATACACAAAAATGTTTGATAAATGTAGAGGCTAAAAAGAAAACGGTGTATGCTACAATGATGAAAATAAAGAGTACTTCAAGGAATTTTACAAGTATTTAAACTAAAATAGTGTTTAGGCCTTTATGTTCAGATCATAATATGTGTTTGAGGAATTTGAAATTTGTGATTACTCAGTATTACTTTTAAAAGTTGATTTAGTGTACAATAGTTTGGGAGATTATTATAGTTATTTTCTTATAATTTTTTCATTATTTTATTAATAAAATATGTTTGAATTTTTATTTTCACAATTTAGCAAAAATCAATCAACTCAATCACTTCAGTTTGAACTTCATAAATTATAGTAGAAGACAATTTAAACTATTTTTCATTTAATTTTTCTTTGTTTTATTAATAAATATATTAAAAAATAATAATTTATTTATAGTTTAACAGAATCAGTCAATCCAATCATTTCAACGTTAATTTTATAAATTTCAAAAGAATTGTTGGGTAGAATATTAAGGGGAATTAGATATCATACGGCTGGGAGGAATCAGTATGGGTCCACCAATGCCAAGAATTGAAAATGAGGATGTCCATTCGTCTCCATACTCTACTGCCGTTTCGGATGGAATCCAGTAGAAGAACCGGCCCATTGGACGTATCAACCATGTCCACTAGGAATGGCGTTCGATACAGCAGCAATTGCACATTGTAGTCCTGCCAACCCAAAAAAAATCTCAAAAATCGGTCCAATGCATTTCGTTTAATTCTAGCTAGTAAAATTAATCTTAAAATCTCATTATTTTGTATACTTATTTGTCTGTTTATTTCTAAATCACATTAGCTTAGTGTGTTTTTGGTTAAATATTTCAATATTTGAATTTCAATTAAGGGGAAATGTAAATTTAAAAAATCATTGAAGAGCCACTATGGATGTTTTTAAACGGACAACAATTTTTTTATCTACTCTGATATGCTTACGTCCACTTTGGTCAATTTTAACTAGTTTGGTTTGATAGATGTTTGTTCTATGTGTATTTATAATTATCAAAGTCTGATTTGATCTAATATGATCTGTTAATGTCAAATCTGCGATTGAAAGTGTCAAACCAAACCAATTAAAAAACAAGGTAATGTTAGTTTGAACTCACATGGTCGCTGAAACTGGGCATTGCACCAAATTTGAAAAAAAATATTAAAGGTATTAATGTTTTACACAGCATCTGATTAAAGTTATTAATGTTTTGAATAGATGGGTGTATACATTTTTTTTGTAAATATGGTACAAGTTAATTATGGCCTTATGGGTGTGAACTCAAATTCTCATTAATAATAATTATACATATCATATTAATTGTTGAAATTTACAATGAGAAATTTAAAACATTGTTCAAGGAGTATATTCTTCATAAATTTTATTTTTGTTTATAAAACACCTCAAACAGAAGAAGAAAATGAAATCAATGTACTGATGTAGCATTAGTAAATTATTAATTACGGAGTATTGATCTTTGAAGTTAAGTTTCGAATAACGTTTTGCTAAATTAAAACTCAAATGCTCCAAAATATAGAAATCAATAGCCATAAAATGAGAGGACACCTTTTGCCCTGTAAATTAGACTATAAAAACACCTAGGGAAATTAGGGATAACGCTTTTTCAAACCATTGATTAGATAAAAAAATCTTTCAAAATTTGTGATTTGAAATTAAAGAATATTTTCAAAATTTGAAACGCGTTTTGTGGACAATGTCTTCCCCGTGAGTTGTCAAGTCTTTACGTGAGTGCTTTTGTAGGTTGTATGTTTTTCAAGTGATTTCCCACAAATTTCGCAGCGAATCGGGGTCCAATTTTCTCTCTAATTCATGGGTTCATTTAATCCAACAAAAAAGTAAAATAAATTCCATGTGCTGATTAATAAAGTTCGACTAATTTACTCCCAAATCTTAACAACAGTAAAACATGACATAATTCCTTAAATAGTTGTGTAATAGTTTTCTCCTTTAGTCGAGTAAATTTATGGAACACGCCAACTGCTCATTATGGAACACATTGACGTGATGAATGGAGAAGATAAATAAAGCCAACGTTTGCTCCATGGTAAATACGCTGGCGTGCTCCATATATTTTTGATAAAAGACAAATAAATTGTATATGTCTCAATTAAAAATGAGTGTAAAATAGAATGTATCCCATTATTAAAAATGATAAAGCTAAATACTTCGTATATGTCTCCGTTTATAATATGCTTTAAATAGAATTAGGGAGTCAAAACACACTTACCGAAAACGTAAGGTTTCTTATCCCGTTTTTTAAGGTCAATTTGGTGTTGGCGTGCGGCTCCTGTGAAAATAACAGGCAACCCAAAGACTCCCACATGTTCAAACTCAGTGAGTCACCAACAAACATAATCTTCTTCCCCCTGTACTTTTTCAAAAACGTTGGCCCATCGAAGCTGCATCAAAGAGTAATCTAAACCCATTATTAACGAATATGCACATAGTGGAATGATCCTATCAAGGGGAAGGGATATGACCATACATCTTGACCGCTGCCATTCGAAGTGGTTTTCAGTAAAGTTTTTTGATAAAATTTTGGATGCAAATATATTATTTATAAAGTTTTAATCATGTTTAGAAAATTTCAGTTTAAAATTCAATCGGAAAGACAATTAAATGGATTATTGAAAAACATTGTGTCAAAATATGTATTTAAAACACATTATTGTTCAATATCCATTTAACTGTCTTCCTGATTGAATTTTAAACTAAAATTATGTGGACATAATTAACATTTCATGAAGAACAATCTCACAAAAATTAATCAAAAAGTTCAACCGAAAACGACTTCAAATGACGAAAAGTTTTGTCCGGATAGCTGGATATGATCTTTTCCATATATACATATCCCCAATAAAGAATTCCTCCCATCCACAAAACCTCTCACATCCAATAAATACTCCCTCCGATCCTAAAAGGATTGACAAGTTTGACTAGCACGTAGAATAATAAAGTAAAAAGTATGTGGTAGAGTAGAGGAGAGAGAAATAGCAGGAGTCACAAATTGATTGATCAAAAGGGAAAGTATCAAAGTTTTTGAGACAACCAAAAAATGAAAGTTGTCAAAGTTATAAGGGACGGAGGAAGTAGTACTCTACTACGGATCCACATATTAATACCCAACTCAAATCGAATGATTTGAATATGGATTGTTGTGGTCAGTCCAACACCCATCACAGTCTATGCCTAAATGGTGAAATATACACCGCAATATAACTACAATCAAGGGTGAAGCCCTGGGAGGTGAGATGCTGATTCATTCAAGTTCTAGCATATAGAGCACTAGAATAACTTTGATATATTAAGACTCATTATAATCACCTATATGTTCTTCTAGCTCCAACATTTACTACCGTAGTACAAATTACGGAGTATTAAAAAAAGGACGACTAGGGCCTCCTAACACTGATCAGATAATTAATTGAGAGAATATAAATTGAACTTTAATCATAAACTGACAGATAATGAATGAGGTTATGTTCTAGGCTCTTAAAGAGGGCCTATGTATGCGGTTTTATATAGTAATCTCTCATCGCAATTGTCAGTATTCGAATTTGAGACTTACATTTAGCTTGTGACACTCTCTCTACCTACGGGCAAACTAAACTGCCGAATGTGCCGATAACCTCTGCCCCAATACAGAAGAGAGAAAGAGACACTGGGAACCTTATGACCTAAAACATGACAGTTTTTTTTTGGACAAATACCAGAGGTTCTCTCAATCTTTTATCAGAGGTTTTTGACAAACATCACTGAAAAAATAGTAGAAAAATTAAGAGTTATACGAATCATCCTGAAAGGCTGATTGAAAGGGTATTTAGCTAGGTGCCACTATAATATCAGAATGGTATTTAAGAAATTGGAATCTCAAAAAAACAAAGTGCACATCCTGCAATTATATTCTTAACTTGAAGCAATTTTGAGTCCAGGCTTCGAGGTTTCTTTTCGAAAACCAGACAAGTTTCTTCCTGGAACACCCCTGATTTCAAAAGAAAAACTTAAGGTTCACCATTAATGCGGAGTAGTTTACCTTTTGAGAGAACAGGAAGAGGGCTGCCATCTGTATCTGAGATAATCTGTGTCAGGCCTTTTGTACTTCTGGCAATTGAACTCATCTTCTATGAAGGGGCACTTTGAGGAATCATAAAGAGGGTAAGATGCATCTTTAACCCATGATCCTATGAAGAAATTGCACTTTTTTCTTGCAGCCAAAGAGCTTGTGGAGCTGTTGAATGCAGAAAATGAGCTAAGCTCACTCCCCACTTCTGCTCTGCTTGCTTGGGGTGAGAGCAGTAAGAACAGTGCCAGGAAGAACAGAGCTCTAGACATTTTGAAATTATCACTGTACTATTGCTTGTATCTTAGTTTCAAAAGTAAGAGGAAGGACAAGCAGTGGTAGAGAAGATCTTGTAGTCTTGTACACACTGCTCATTTGCAATCTACTCTCTGTCCCTTCAATATATATACTACCCAGTATATTTATTGTACTCCCGTGTATACTTGATATATTCAATTCGTATTTGCTACGTATCTTATACGGTAATTTCTTCGTACTTCATATATTCAATTTTTGGCCAAATTACCAAATTGGTAAAAAAAAAAAAAGAGGGATGTTGGACAGATTGGTAAAAAAATACGATTTGAGACAAATTGGTAAAAAAAAAAGCCCTAGTGACAAATTGATCAATTTTTTTAGAATGATAAACTTTTGATTCCCAACTTTAGAATTCCCGACATTTCATATTATAAGTATTGTGAAATTGACATTTGTAGTCCTTTTACTTTGATTTTGACATCAAAAGTGGAGGTCTAAAAATATCAACGATCGTATTTGATAATAGCGGTTGTTTGCTAGCTCATAGCTGGTTGTATCAGCAAATTCATATTTGCAATTAAATGTTAAGACGTAAAATAATCATTAAAAATATGAATTTAAAAGTATATATATTTATCTTAACTTTATTTCTTTTATTTTTATTAAGTCTTTCAAAAGGTTTTAAAAATTATATTTACATTTATTTTAAAAAACCATGGAGTAGATTTAGAAAAAAACTAATAAATAGTCGTATGGAGTAGATTTAAAAAACTAATAAATAGTCATATTTAAACTACTAATACTAAAAATATATGAATTTATATGTGTGTACTCGCATCAATGTACATATCTTAAAAATGATAGTGTTATTAATTATTTAAAATAAACGTAAACATTTTTTTAAACTATTTCCAAGCCTTATTAAAAATACAAAGAAATAAAATTAATTTAAATATATAAACTTTTAAATATAATTTTTAACGGTCATGTTACGTTTGAAAAGCTAATTGCAAATTTTATGTTACTTACATTGTATTTCAAAACGCTAATGAAAGCGGTTAGTTAAAAAAACTAACGGAATCCGCTAATATGAAGCTGCTGATACAAGCGGCTACGAGCTAACAAACAACCACTATTATGAAACACGGTCGTTAACATTTTTAAACCTCAACTTTTGATGACAAAATCAAAGTAAAAGGACTGCAAATGTCAATTTTACAATATATTTATACTATGAAATGTCGGAAATTCTAGAGTCGGGGATCAAAAGTTTATCATTCTCAAAAAATTGACCAATTTGTCACCAGGGCTTTTTTTTTTTACCAATTTGTCTCAGCTCATTTTTTTTTTACCAATCTGTCCAACAACCCTCTTTTTTTTTTTACCAATTTGGTAATTTGGCCTTCAATTTTTTGGTATAATAATGTACTCCGTATCATCCAGGCCGGCTCCAGGGGCAACCACCGTAGGTCCCAAAAATATGGAAAAAAAAGTAGGCTCAATTTTTTCCATTATACTAATATGTGATTACTATTAGTATCTTTACCTGTGCACGAGATAAACAATTTTGTTTTAGTTTTTTTATATATGTGTGTGCGCGCAGTGACATATGTATGAGTTATTAGATCTAATCGAAATTGGAAAGTCTCTTATTTAGTACTACCGCCGTCCCATATTAGTTGTTCACTTTTAATTTGGCACGATTATTAATAAATTGGTTAAAAAGTAAAAGTTGTGGTTGAGTTTTGAGTAGAATAAAGTGAATGATAAGAACCACATATTTCTTGCCAAATAGGAAAACAAGAAATTCATTTTGGGACAACCCAAAAAGAAAAGTAGGACAACCAAAATGGGACGGAGGGAGTAGATTATAACATTAGTTGATAATGCATATTCTTATTTATTGACTATGTCTTATTTTTTAACTATTTATATAACATGTTCTCAGTTTATATTATCCAATACTTAAAAGAGCCAATTTTTTATGACTTCATCTTTTCATCCATGTTTATCTAAACAAAAAAAGAAATTGCTCAATGCATATTTTTATCCATTAGACTCCATCCATAGCTTACTGTTACTCCAAAACTAATAACTACACGTTTTTGTAGTTTATTCAATTAATAATTGGTGTGGTCATTTTTTTTAGATATTAGCCCTTCTGGAATTTAGAATTGAGCAAATTAGTTACAGTTATCCCCTTCTTTAAGAAAAGAATTCAGAATATATAATTTTGTGACATTGTGATTTTAATGAACGTGATGGCGGCGACAACAGACCGGCTGCATAACGCGATTGATAACGGTCGGTTTATTTTTCTTTAGATTGATTTAAAATAAGTGTTATTGAACGAAGAAGTGTTGCATGATTTAGATTTTTGATCGGTAGGCAATATTTACCAAGAAGGTCAACTGAATTAAATCTATAAAAAGAATCTCACCTCAAATGGTAAGTAATAAGTGAAACATAAACAAGTCAAATTATGCAATAAAATATAAATAAAAAATAAAGAAGCTCCATATTTAGGAATGCAAAATGATCTCAATTTTATGACCAAATCCTACTGTGTTAAATTACATCCATGAGTAAAAGAATTATCCTTTATGTACAGTCTAGCTTATTTATCTAACTCTTAAACACAACTTTTAGTATCACGATATGATTGCTATTTATGTAATGAATAAATCTTTCCGAAATCTAAAAATCTCAACAAAAATATATCAAGATCTTATGTTAATATTTAATATACACTAAAGTAAAAAAAATAACATTTACTTTCATAGATCACATAAAAAAATTGATTTCAATTCAAAATATCCTTAATTAGAAAGGTGAACACAAATTTGAGACAACATTAAGACAAAAGTGTATTTAGAAAAATTTAACACATGCATACTCTTTTTTTGTTTAGGTAAAGATAGTTGAAAAGATTATTTTCATTTGGATGCAATTGAGAATTATAAAAAATACTTTGTCCATTATACAATATAGGCTGGAAAATGTCTAGATAAGTAGTTAAAAATGCTCTTTTCATTAGAAAATATAGACCAAAAAAACGTTAAATACAACTCATAATTAGTAAAAGTAATTATTACATTAGTAGAGAATAAGAAAATAAATAATTAGTATTAAATAAGAAGATTAATAATTACAATCGATTATTAATTGTGTATGAGTCTAGTAAGATTGTGTTAATTTCAACATTTGTGTTGGAGTGAAATATTGTTGAAGAGCCTAGTAAAATTGTGTTTGAGTAAATTGTGTTAATCTATGTTAGAGTGAAATTGTGTTTTCACATGTAAATATCGTGTAAGGGTGCTTTAAGTGTAGTATATTCTGATTTGATCTAAACGGGTCGACTCTTGTATATATTTGTTCGATAACTATTTTACAACTGTCAACGTCTAGCATGACTTGATTTAGTATGTTCTGGTCTGACCTGATTTTAAACTGAATTTAATTCAATTAAAAATCTCACAAATACTCTAAAAAGGTGGATGGATATATTTAGGGAGAAAATGTTTTCGATGAAATAATTATTGAAAGAATAAGGAGTATTAGTTGTTCTTTGTAAATCAATTACATTGGTTGAAATCCCAATTAAATAAACATTATTTAAATTTAGTATAATCATCTCAAATTAACTTTTTATTCTAAATTGTACTAATTTTATTTAACCCTTATTTCAATTTATTAGTTTTGATTCTAAACTAAATTGACAGTTTCGGATGACCTATATCTACATGGTAAAGTAGTCTAACTTTTGTTTTAACATATTTAAATATTTAATTTCCCAATTAGCAAGAAAGATATGCATGAAGTTTAATGGATAAAAGAGACACCGAAAAAGTATTAAATAAGGGAGATTTGTTATATACTACGGGTAGCGTTTTGACTATTTTAAGGTCTCATTGAATCATATGATTTTGATTCTTTTATCAAAACATGATTATTATAAAGTAATTTAGCAGTGGAAAATCATAGAATAATGATTTTAACAATAGTTGTGTAGCTCTCATTTACGGGTATTAGTACACGAAAGAGATTTTGCAAAGATGCCATGGGGAGATGATTTTGAAAAGCGAGGAGAAAAATTCATATGGAATAATGAGAAAGGTGTAACTTTAGATTGGAGAAATTGTGTATAAGAATAGTGAAATTGTGTTAATTTATGTTCGAGCAAAATTTGTATAAGTAGGAGTCTAAAATTTATATAAGTAGTGAAAATGTATTTGACTATAATTGTAGTGAAAATGTATTTGACTATAATTGTATTAATCTATGTTTGAGAGAAAGTATGGTTTCACATGTCAATTCGATTGGAATCTTCAGGTCCGGTCTGTCTGGTCTGTTTAAGTCTAATCTAGAATTATTTGATATGAACTCATCTAGTACACGTTTGTTCTATGTGTACTTTGCAAATGTCGAATTCCGACATGGTTTGATCTAACAATAATTGTAGTGGCACTTTTAAAAAATATTCGTTAAAGTCTTTAAATATTTTTTTATCTTTATATATTCAAAATTGATATCATGTGAAAGATAATAAAAAGTTATGATTTTAGATATATTTTTAGTATCATCATCATCTTCATCAGATTCTGTCATGTCATCACCATTGATGTTATCGCCAGCATCACCATCACTTCCATGCCCATCCACAAATGATGCACCATTGTGCAAATACCTACTCTCTTCCTCTATAACCATGTCCAGTACAACAACATTTGAGGAGTTCCCTGCATTGACACCATGCCTAGGTACAATAACATTTGATGTTGATGGAGTAGCAGAATAATCACATATCGATTTCTCAATGTATATCTCTAGCATGGACATACCCTCCATCTGAATTATCAACCACATATTTGATACAGCTAGCTCATCAACAAGTGGCATAAGCATGTAATTTTCCCCGTTCATGGGAAATTTCATTTTCAATCGCATAGAACAGCTCGGAAAAATCATTGTAGCTGCATGGATTTTTTTTGCAGGATCTCGAGCAAACATGCACCACGAGAAACAATGACAAAGCTGCTTCTACCACCTTCATGACTTATTTGGCCACCTTCCTCAAATATGTTCCCTCCCCAATGACACACGATTGGGAAGTTGGAGAAATCCATATTCTAATAACAATACATGTCCAATT